CGCAGGCCCCTCGGGCGACCGCGGCTGCGGGACGGCGGCGGTGCGCCCCGCCGCCCGCTCTCAAACGCCGGCTTGGTGGCCTGGGCCACCTTGATGGCCTTACCATCCAGGGACTTGCCGTTCATGTCTCTGGCGGCGGCCTTGGCGTCTGCCGGGCTTTCGAAGGTGACGAACGCAAAGCCCCTGGACTTGTTGGTTTCTCGATCTTTCATCAAGAGAACCTCGCTGATGCGGCCATACTTGCCAAACGCGGCCTCTAGGCCTTTCTCATCGGTTTCGGGGTTGAGCCCGCCAATGAAAAGCTTCCCGGGGCGATCCGCCTCAACCATGTCGGCCGGTCGAGGGATCGGTGGCGGGGGGGGAAGGGGGGCGGCGAGGGGACGGCACCCGTCGTGGCCTGGGAGCCCGCTCGCCGACGGCGGCTCCTACCGGTCAGGCAGCGCGTCGTCGCGGAGCCCCGGAACCGCGGTCGGCGCCCCCGCTGCGCAGGCGGAACGCTGGGGTGTGCGCCTTTGGGTCTGGGTGCGCAGCCTGGCCGGGCTCTTTCTAGTCGTGATTGGCTGGTGGTCCCGTGGCGGGGGGGGGGGGGGGGCACCTTCGGGGAAGGTCTTTCAACTTCAGCTTCGTAACCTGTCCCTGCTTTACTGTCTTCAATTCACTCCTGAAAGCTCAGTTGCGAAATGAAAAGCCGTTAGGTTAAAAAAAAATTTTCCCCCATGAGTCTTAATGAGAAAAATTATAATGCATTCTAATCCAAGTTACCCAGACCATTTTCAAACAGGAAAAAAAAAATCCACTGAAAAATGAAATAACAGCTTTAAAGTTTAAAAATGCAGTTTGTACATAAAATGTATTAAGAATTTTTGCACTTGTCAGTGGGGAAGAGAAGACCTGATAGTGGGGGTGTTGGTTTCTGGAATAGGAAAAAAAGGGAGTCGTTCTTTGGATGCACCATTTTTCTGTTCTGCGCCATTTTCTACAGTTTGCCAACCTTCAGAGGGCTCATAGTTTTATGTCGTATTACCCTTTAATATAAAGGTATTGCACAGAAAGTCACCTTTAGGGAAAATAAAGGGAGAGAGCTCTTGGACATTCCTCACAGTAGCACCTGAGCAAGCAAAACAAAAGCCTTTGCCTCTTCCTCTCCGAAGAAGAGGTGAATCTCAGGGAAACAAAACATTTTAGGTTCAAACAAATGACACAATTCAGATTTGCTCCTTACAGTAGTCTCTGAATGGAACTAAGTGTGAAGAGTAACTTGGTGAACATAACTTTGCTTGACATTCTGACATCTAAAACTACTTTCTAAAAAAAAAACCAAAAAAACTATAGTGTGTTTGGGGGCTTTTTAAAATAATAGTTTAGGTTTTTCAAAGGCTGCTATGTGAAAAGTTAACTGAATAGTCATGAGAAGTCAGTATTTGTGCATGTAATATGTGTACATATACATGTGCACATGTGTTACATTGGTTTACTGCAATAGCTACATAATGTTGAAAGAGGTGGTGAAAGCAGGCATTTTTATGATGTTTCTGACTTTAATGCATACATTTTTAAGGTTTTAAGATTTTTTTTAATGTGCATGAATGGCAGTTAAATGCATCACATCAGTTCATGGGATGAGTTGCAGTAACAGATTTTATTACTAAATCATTTTATTTCTAAGGTAAGCTTACCTGGTCAGGATGTATTTATTTTTAAATAAATTTATTTTTGTTTGCTCACACTTAGAAATTTTACATTTCTGAGCATAAAGGGCATTGGCCTATAATTTTCATTCCCTTACTGAGCTGGGAAGATTTTTGCCTAAATTTCTTTTAATTTTGAGTCTATTCAGATTTTTTTAAATTTCTTCTTGGTTTTTGTAGGATACACTTTTCTAAGTTATTCATTTTTAATTTGAAATTGTATTTTATGGATAGCTGTGTTCTGTTTTGCTTTCTGTTTTGTAACCAGTCTCACCAGAAATTTTTTCTTTTCAAAGAAGCAGCCTTTTTCTTCGTTAATACTCTGTTTTGATTTTATTTGCTACTATTGTCTGTCTTTTCTTCTTTCCACATTCTTTGGATTTACAGTTTGTATTATTGTTGTTCTAAATTTTTAGGTAAGACAGTGCATTAAGAGTTTTAAAAAATGTTTCTTCTAATTGCTGTAGATAAGTTTAAAACTTATTCTCTGTGTACTAGTTAACACCATGTCCTGAGCTGTGATACATGGTGTTTTCACTGTTGTTCAGTTCCTAACATTTTCTCATTTTCATGCTTTCTTGACGCATGAATTATAAAGAAGTATGTTTTCAAATTTTCAAACATACAGATTTTGGAGGTTATTTCTTAAAATGCTTTGTATGATCTCCATTCTTTGGTTTTTACTGACTTACTTTTTGACCTGCTGTGCATCTGTGTGCGTGTGTGTGTGTGTGTGTGTGTGTGTGTATCTGTTTGTCTGTGTAATGTTCCATATATGCTTGAGTGGAAAGTGTATTCTCTAAATACTGGGGTAGAATTCTTTCCTTAGATGTTTAAATCTAGCTTATCCTATTTTTATATTTTTATCTGATAGAATTACCAATCACTGAGAATGGTTTTTAAATTTCCCATAATTGTGGATTTGGCAATTTCTCTTTATTTTTATGCACATTTTTGTTTCATGTAATTTAAGATTATATTGTTGTATATATAAGTTGAAAACTGCTATGTATTTCTGGTAAATGTCTTTATTATGTAATGATTCTCATTATCCATAACTTTTTTTTTTAAAGATTTTATTTATTTATTTGACAGAGAGAGACACAGTGAGAGAAGGAACACAAGCAGGGGGGAGTGGGAGAGGGAGAAGCAGGCTCCCCGCTGAGCAGGGAGCCTGATGCAGGGCTTGATCCCAGGACCCTGAGATCATGACCTGAGCCGAAGGCAGATGCTTAACAACTGAGCCACCCAGGCGCCCCTATCCATAACATTTTTATCTTAATCTGTTTTGTCTAATATTTATATAGCTCAATGTTTTTCAGATTTCCTTCTGTCAGCTTATTGTGTGCTGTTAACCACACCTTCCTTGCCTCTTTTTTTCTAACTTTCTTGCATTCTCTTGTATCAAATTATTTGTCTTTATTCCTTTCTTTTTCCTCTACTAACATGGAAGTTTTGCCTTCAACTTCTATTCTTTGAATGTTTACCTTGAATGTTTTTATTCAGGGCTAACTTATAAACACTAAGTTTATAAGTTTATTTATAGAATCTTATATTTTCTGCCTGATTAATTTTTACATATGGTGCAGGAGTGGAGAAGAGTAGTTTCTGGGGCTTCTGGAACCTTGTGCACTGCAGTATCAAAACCCATTGGTGCATCCCTAACAGGAGCTGTAATCAGATCAAGAGAATATAGACATGTTAATCGTTGATAGGATTAGTAGAGATTTGGGTGAAAACTAGAATGTTTACATGAAGTGATTGGATCTCTATTCCTCTGAGTGTATTACGTGGATGGATATTGTGTCTGGTAATGTTTCCCCTACCCAGTATTGTAAAACTCCAGGCATGTAAATCCACACTTCATGCAGTATTAGTTAGACATGCTAAATGGGAACAAATAAGATTGCCCAAGCCCACACAGTATAAAATAAAAACTGGAGTGCTGTTATGGGCGAATTCTGTGTACCAGACACCCATGTGGAATATAAACTGGAGCTTATGGCAAAGCCTGTGAATGCCCCACAGTAATGACTACTGAGACTTTGGACTAGAGGGTTTCCATTTGAGGGGCAGTTACTAGCTTGCTATTAGACATTAGTTGACACTGCCCCTAAGATCTGAAGGATATAAATAATTGTATAACCTCACACCCATTAGGATGGTTACATCAAAGAACCAAAACAAACAAACCCCCAGAAAATAACAAAGGACATGGGAAAATGTTGGCAAGGACAGGGGGAAATTGGAACACTTGTACACTGCTGGTAGGAATGTAAAATGGTGCAGCCACTATGGGAAACAGTATGGTGGTTCTTCAGAAAAAATAAAAGTAGGATTACCATATGATCTAGCAATCTACTACTGGGTATCCAAAAGAATTAAAAGCAGGGTCTCAGATATTTGTACACCCATGTTCATAGCAACATTATTCACAAAAATAGCCTAAAGGTGGAAGCAACTCAACTGTCCATGCACAGATGAATGGATAAACAAAATGTAGTATATATGTACATATAATATGGGCCTGAAAAAGGAAGGAAATCCTGACACCCGCTACAACATGGATGAACCTTGGGGACATTATGCTATGTGAAACATACCAGTCACAAAAAGATAAATACTGAATAATGATTCCAGTTATACGAGGTATCTAGAATGGTCAAGTTCATAGGAAGAGAAAGTAGAGCAGTGGTTGCTAGGGGCTGGAGGGAGGGGAAAATGAGCTGCTGTTAAATTGGTACAGAGCTTCAATTTTGCAAGATGAAAAAATTCGAGGGATTGGTTGCACAACAATGTAAATATACTTAACACTACTGAACTGTACACTTAAAAATGGTTAAGTTGGTAAACTTCATGTTAAGTGTATTTAATCATAATTAAAATTTTTAAAAATGAAAAATAATAATCTTTAGCCCAGAAATATCACTGATAATTGGGTGAGGTCACAGAAACACACTAATGGGGAGGGCAGTGCCCAGAAGACTTCTATGATTAAATGGAAATGGTTTATATAGGAATATGCTATCAGAGGAATGCAGAAAGTTACCCAGGGGATTCACAAGCAAGGCAAGTAGACTTCTCCCCCTTGGACTGACTTTGGAACCACATGAGGAGCTGCAAGATTCTATTCTATTAACAGTGCCCTGTAAACAGTTTCTCAACTGACCAACAAGGAGCTGCTTGGCTTATGGATGGCGGTTCCAAGGTGAACAAACAGCATCCTGTTTAGAAGGCTAAAAACTGTTTGAGGAGGGTAAAAACAAATCAGCATGGTTGGCTGAATTACATGCTGTTTTCCTAGCGGTGATTAAAGAACTGAACAATGATAAAAGCCCCTAGGTTTGAGCTTTTACTGACTCAGGGGTGGTGTCCATTGGCCTGGCCATGTGGTCAGGCAGAAAAGCAATGGAAAACTTACCTATTAAAGAGATACCCTTGGAAAACCTGGCTGGCTCAGTAGGTAGAGCATGTAACTCTTGATCTTGGGGTCATGAGTTTGAACCCTATGTTGGGAGTAGAGATTATTTAATAAATAAAAGATTTTTAAAAAGAGAGATGCCTCTTTGAGGCATGGCCCTATTGAAATCACTGTGAGAATTTGAGGGATGCAGTACAGTAGAACATGTTGATGCCCATCAGAAGAACCAATTTGC